AATTACTGTGGCCCTCAGTCAAATAATTGTTCTCCACCCCTTGATGTATATGAATGTGCACATCATCTCTGTCTGTGCATATTCACCAGTCAACTTACACCGACTCATCTCTCTCTCTCTCCCCCATGTGTGTGTGTAGATAGATAGGAGCATGTGCGTGAAACAAAATACTTATTATTGCTTTCTATCTAGAAACCATTGATCTTTGGCTGTGGCACCTGAAAACACGCTTGAAAAGAAAATAAGCACTTTTTTTTTACACATAAGATAGAATAAATGCTTCTATTGCGTCTCTGTGCCCTAGAGTACTTCTGACACCCTGTGTTTTACAATTCTTCTGTTTGCAGCTGGGATTTGCCTTCGAAAGTGGAAGAGTAATTAATGGTATCAAATAAATCCAAACAGGGATGGGTGGTGATTACTTAAAGTTGGGGGAGATCAAGAACATCTGGCTTACCAGTAATGAGGTTGGCATGTTAAATAGAAGAAATACAATAAAAGATAATATTGGTTGTCTTGGATTAGATGCATCAAGCCATCTGGGAGCCAGTTCATAGTCTTGTAGGGAGTGAATGTGGAGACTCTTTGGAATGTTAGCATGGCCTGAGAAGTGCCTTTAAACATGTCCTAGGGTTGTTGTTTTTTAAAAAATCACTGCATATCTTGCAGAGGTTTTTTTTATCCTGCAGAGGAAGGGACGTGGGTGGCGCTGTGGGTTAAACCACAGAGTCTAGGACTTGCCGATCAGAGGGTTGGCGGTTCGAATCCCCGCGATGGGGTGAGCTCCCGTTGCTCGGTCCCTACTGCTGCCAACCTAGCAGTTCGAAAGCACGTCAAAGTGCAAGTAGATAAATAGGTACCACTCCGGCGGGAACGTAAACGGTGTTTCCGTATGCTGCTCTGGTTCGCCAGAAGCGGCTTAGTCATGCTGGCTACATGACCCGGAAGCTGTACGCCAGCTCCCTCGGCCAATAAAGCGAGATGAGCACCGCAACCCCAGAGTCGGTCACGACTGGACCTAATGGTCAGGGGTCCCTTTACCTTTTTTATCTTGCAGAGGATCCAAGGACTGAAGGGTTATTGACTCCAAAAAAAATGCAGAGATTACATGCTGTCTGGGGGTTGTTACAAGACAACACAATAATGGGCCTTGCTTCACAGCCAAGCTTCCTTGCATCTTTCTCTTGCCATACTTAGCTACATTCCCCGCTGCCATTCACTTTTGATTTTACTTCATCTTGAAAGCCAGCACTTTGGATGCAGCGTTTATCAGCATCTCGAGCTCATAAGTGCTTTGGGGTGATATGAAGACAGCACAGGCTGTGTTCTTATGTAGATGAATTGTTCTGCATTTATTGCAGCATTTTTGTTATTCCTTTGGTTTTGCCATATTTACAACCTACCGAAGGCGTAGAAGATAACTGAGCTAAGCTAGTCCCCAGTTCCAGAGCCTCATCTGAAGTGCATTTCTGCTGTAATACTGGACTGGTTGGCTTCAATAGTCACGGTTCTTTGTCCAACTAGCTTTTGGGCATCCTTCCCTTGTTCATGAGCTTCAAGTATACAGTGGTATCTCGGGTTACATATGCTTCAGGTTACATATGCTTCAGGTTACAGACTCCACTAACCCAGAAATAGTACCTTGGGTTAAGAACTTTGCTTCAGGATGAGAACAGAAATCGTGCTCTGGTGGTGCGGCAGCAGCGGGAAGCCCCATTAGCTAAAGTGGTGCTTCAGGTTAAGAACAGTTTGAGGTTAAGAACAGACCTCCAGAATGAATTAAGTACTTAACCCGAGGTACCACTGTACACGGATTGGCTTTTGTTGCTCTAACAACAGTCTGTGTTCACAAATGGGTCAAATTCTGTCTGCTTGTTGCCATTTTATTGCAGAATATATGTTGCAAGCAAACATGAGTTGCATGTACTGCATGTAACTATTTGGATTACAACAATGCTTCTAGGATATAATATAGGATAGCTGCTGTTTTACAGTGACCTTTGCAGACCAGCTATATGTCATACAAAAGCTTCATTCACAGTGCTAACACCTGATTTCTGGTGGCATCATAGCATAATCCTGTGCTGATGTAGTGATCTTACTTGGAGCACAACTCCACAGCAGGAACATTGTGCTGGTTCAATAATAGTTCAATCCTTATTTTCCTGGACATTTGCGTATCTCCCCACCTTCCTTCCACAAACCTCCATTCATGTGCACAAATGAGCAAATTTTTCTTAAAGAATGTCACATTTTGTAATCTTGATGACAGACAAGGGTTTTGTGCCTTCATCTTGTGCCTCCAAATCGGGCTCCCCTCAGTGCACTGAGGAAGGACTCAGGCATTGCAGAGTAAGTGCAGCACAGCCAGGGAGAACTACTCCCCAGACTTCTCATAGCAACTAAGGGCTCATCCACCCTGGAGTTTAATGTGGATTTATCTCTTTTAATGGTGTCAACATGACGTCCTCTTCCAAGTGGCAGCCTACACACACACACACACACACACACACACACACACCCTGCAGATAATCCGATAGCGGAAGAAGATAAAAAATAAAACCACAAATTAGCGGACTGTAGATGTTCTGAACTGTATTGTGCTGATAGACTTTTTTACGTGTGTGTTACATACCAGCCCAAAGGACAGGATGCAGAACTTTCCATCAGTTCTTGCTGTTTTGGCACTTGTATTTTTAAAAAAGCAGAACTGCTCTTGCAGAAGACAGCTGTGTTTTAAGAGAAAATAAAACTTGCCCTTGCAGGTACAGGAGGTGTGAAAGGAAAAGGGAAGTACAGTGGTACCTCAGGTTAAGTATTTTTTGCTCTATAGGACTCACTTTTTCCCTCCTAAAAAGTAAGGGGAAATGTGTGTGCGTCTTATGGAGCGAGTTCAGGCTGTGCATCTATCCCAGAAGCCAGAACAGCAAGAGGGATTACTGCTTTCACTGCGCAGCGATCCCTCTTGCTGTTCTGGCTTCTGAGATTCAGAATATTTTTTTTCTTGTTTTCCTCCTCCAAAAACTAGGTGCGCCTTGTGGTCTGGTGCGTCCTTTAGAGCGAAAAATACGGTACTTAATTCGTTCCAGAGGTCCGTACTTAACCTTAAACTGTTCTTAACCTGAAACACCATTTTAGCTAATGGGGCCTCCTGACCTGCCGCAGCGACGCCAGAGCACGATTTCTGTTCTCATCCTGAAGCAAAGTTCTTAACCTGAAGCACTATTTCTGGGTTAGCAGAGTCTGTAACCTGAAGCGTATGTAACCCGAGGTACTACTATATCAGCTTTTCAGGCAAGCAGTTCCAAAGGCTTGCCTGACTGGGAGTAGCAAGCTTCCTTCCTTCCTTCCTTCCTTCCTTCCTTCCTTCCTTCCTTCCTTCCTTCCTTTGTTTTTGTTTTCTACTGCTCTTTCTCGCAAAACCTGTGTTTCAAAAACAAATAAAGGCAAGGAAAGGTGCATGCTGTGCACATGTCTACAACTAACCTCAGGTTTCCTGAACTGGTGGTGGACAGAGAGGTACTAATTGAGGGAGGGGACCGCAACACACAGCACAAATAGATCCCATCAAGGCCACCCACAAGTGTGAAGGGAAATAAGTTTCAAAGGCTTAAAACTGAAGCACTCATTGGTAGATTGAGGCACACAAACTTGCATATGGAAGCATCCATCTGTGTACCCATGAAGACGTCAACGCAGGGACAAGGCACTACAACTCTCTTCAGTCCTAATGCTTTCACCTTTCTTAACTCTTTTTCCTTTAGGAAAATAAGCTACCTTCTTTCTCTAAATGAACTGGTTTGCCAACTGTACTGGCTATTTGCAACAGATCTCCCCTCTTCTGCTCTATGCTGACATTTAAGAAGAAAAGTGGCCATAGTAAAATAATAGAAAACAACAACTTTCCAAAACAGATTTTAGCTCATTACTCTCAATGGCGCTTTGTGCATACTTGAAAAGCGTTCTTAAAAATAACTGCTGTCCCAACCAGCCGTGGCCACACTGTGAGACTTTACAGCTGAGTCACAGCAGTTACCAGAAACAGCTATTTCCATCTCTGGTACGTGAAGCCAGCTGGCAAGACTTAGGCAAAGCCGGGCTGAAAATGTTCTTTGACATTGTTCCACACTCCTTCTCGGTTTAGAACTTCTCACAATGCCCTATTCTGAATCCCAAATGCTCTGGGAGGAATGCTGATTTACACAAGATTGCCCAGTGTTAAAAAGTATGAGTCATGGAACAAAATATGTCCCTCTCTCCCAAGACACAAGAATGTAAAATTATAAATGTATAATTATCACCCTTTGCCTATTATTTTCGAAGCACTAATTTCCCCACCTTCCAGTACAGTTTAATAGTAAAACATTATATGCATATTTTTTTCAAGCTTTACCCAATTCTATTGAGGACTAAATTGAGGACATTGCTTCATATATAAAGAACAATTTTAAAGAATATTTATAATCCCTACTCTCTCCTTTCTAGAGACTTTTTGTTGTCACCAAAAACTAATCTTTCTTTTTGCTCAGGACTCAGGATACGGTACACAACAGATTACTATTACTGCATTTCACAGAACAGTGCTAGAATTCAGAATATTTAGGGATTCAGGGCTGCAATTTTACTGCCTAGGACTAAGAGAAGCATAGCTGTGGTTTCAACTTCTGCCATAGCCTTGGTTTTCGTGTGTCTCTCCATTTTTCTCATCAAGGCTGAATTTCTGTAATTAGACAAAAGATACTCAGGAGAAGTGCAACTTTCTGAAGGTTAAAGAAGGGCAAGCAAATACGATTTTTAAGAGAAAATTCTCATGAAAATGCCAAGACAATTAATTACTAGGGTGGCACTTGCTTTAAGGACTTGACAGCACAGCTTTAAAATAGTCAGAAATATATTGCCAAAGCTTCCTGGAAAAGCGACGTCAAAGAGAAGTTTCTAATGAAACTGGTGTAAATACAGAAAATGAGTTTCATCTATTTCTATGTCTTTTCTCTTTCTAGGTGTTTATGGGCAGCTGCAAACATTCTGTTCCCCACATTATGCCGACAATCAGAGAAATTTGCAACATGGCGGAACTTGTAATATGGTCCCGCCTTTTGAAGACTGTCTTGTACCCACATCTATGGGTCAGGGAGGTTTTGATGTTTTCCACAGAGCATTTTCAGCGCATTCTGGCATTACAGGTAAACCCCTACTGTGGTTGCGTTAGTTAAAGGTGCACTCTGTGGTTTCTAGAGCTCTTAGTTTCATGAGTTCTTTTTTGGAAAGGATATTCTATGTTTCCAAAGTGTGTACTGATCCCCAACACCCATTTGAAACTCATTTCGTAATGCTGTACACCATAATCCCTCTACATCAACACTCCTCCCTAGTCTAGACTTTCTCAGAAGCACTTTGGACCTTTATTAAGAAAACCTGGGGTCAATTCAAACATTATCACACCTTGTAGGATATCAATCTGGTTCCACGTGTCAGCCATGAATTGCAACTTGCATGTAAGATACTGAGAAATGAACAGCCAGTTGTGGCAATTTTGTAGTCTTCCTTCCTAAATAATTTGTTGCATAGGAATTTGGTAACCTGTGAAGTGGTTCTCAGTAAGCTTGTAACCTTGCCAGCTTTAAACTGGATTGCACGGCTAGCTGTAAACATTTGTTTCTTTTAAAACAAATTTCTGAGAATTCCCATCTGCTCTTTCACCATCTAACAGATTTTCATCTGTGAAGAAAATCGGCAGTTTCTGTCCCTTAATCCAGTCTAGACTGGGCCTCTAACAGGCCAAAGATAGAAATGGACAGGAAAAAAGGACGCAGTTCTTCTGCTGCAGCCTTTTAACACTGAGCACCTGTGTCTTAGGACTGGTTCATAGGTCTGTATAGAAAACTTGGCTACTGGGCCTTTAGTGACTTGCCAAAAATGTGCTTTTTGCAGGTGCTTTTTGAAAGGTAGTTCATAAATGTTATTAATAAATAAGTAATAATAAATAAAATACCCCTTCATGCATAATAATGCTTAACATCTGTGTAGCCCTTTAAAGTCTTCAAAGCACTTCCTCTTCATCATCCAGGGGTGAACCTCAAAGTTGTGTTGTGAGGAAAGCCAGCATGATAATTCCCCATCTTGCAATGAGAGGGCTGGGGCTGAGGAAGTGGGGCTTGCTTGAAGGCGATCCTGGGAGTTCAGGCCTCCCTATGGACTCTCCGATTGGCCACTACACCAGGCCAGCTCTCCATTGCGTAACGTATTGGCCACAGCCGCTGTAAGGATATCAGGGGGCTACTCGAGAGCAATCAGGCAAATGCCTCCCTGGTCGGCTGTAAAGCCTCGTTATTGGTGCCAAAAACCCTTCACCACTATTCTGTGGCTGGCTCATTCACTGGCAGAATCTGTGAGTGGGCAGTCCTTAAACCTTCCCCAGCAGAGTAGTTTCTTGACGCCCAATCTGCGCTTCCCCTCTCGGCGCGGAAGCCTACTGCGCAGGGAGGGCGTGGGTAACGGAGGACCTCTCTCCTCCCCGCTTTACCCAGGCAAGGTGTCCTGGCACCGCCTCGCCTCCTCCGAGCCCTGAAGCTCCTCTCCACTGGAGGCGTGGTTACTCTCCTCCGCTGAGGAGGAGCTGCTTCCCACGATCTTTGGGGGCTCTCTGAAATCCATCCGGCTTTTCCCCTCTCGCCCCTGAGCCGATGGCAGTTCCCTGACACCCACAAATAAGCCACACCTTTAAAATTCAAGGGGGCGGGGAAGGAAAAAAGACAAAACCCAAATATAAGCCGCGCCCTGAAAATTGGGTTACAGGCTGAAAATCGCTGCGGTTGGTAGAATTGTAACTCCAAGCCCATTTAAGCCTTTGCTCTTGCAAGCCCCCAAAAGTGACCGTACAGTCGCTCAAATCGCAAATTGCTATTCATTCGCTACAATTCCGCAGGCACTCACACCCGTCAATGGCAAATGAACAGTCTCGAGCTCACAAATCAGCAAGGAAACATTTTTTTGTTCCCTTTTACCATATGTAAAATGGCTGCGTGGGAGCTGGTTGAAGTTCAATCCTTCGAAGACAGAGGTCTTCTGGCTGGGTCGGGATGACATAGGGTTGGGGGCCAAATCTCATCTCTTGCGGGGGCTCAATTAGTGCCAGCGCCTTCTGTCAAGAGCTTGGGTGTAACCTTCAATGCCTCCCTTTCCATGGAGGTGCAGGTTGCAGCCACAGCAAAGGTGGCATTTTTCCATCTCCGCCGTATTAAGTAGTTGGTTCCTTACCTTTCCCGCCCTGATCTGGCCACAGTGATCCATGCGATGGGCACCTCCAGGCTTTATTATTTTAACTCGCTCTATGGGGGGCTGCCCTTGAAGCTGACTCAGAAACTCCAGCGGGTGCAGAATGCCGCAGTGAGGCTCCTTATGGGGTTCTCGCCATGGGATCACATTCATCCAGTGCTTTACCAGCTGCCCTGGTGGAGTACGGGGTCAGGTTCAAGGTGCTGGTTTTGACCTTTAAAGCCCTGTGCGCCCTAGGACCCACGTACCTACGGGACCGCCTCTCCTGGTATGCTCCGTGGAGGACCTTAAGGTCCACAAATGACAACACCTTGGAGGTCCCAAGTCGCAAGGTGGTTAGATTGGTCTCAACTAGGGCCAGGGCCTTTTCAGTACTGGCCCCGACTTGGTGGAACACTCTGTCACAAGAGACTAGGGCCCTGCAGGACTTGACTTCTTTCCACAGGGCCTTCAAGACAGAGCTGATCTGCCTGGCCTTTGGTTTTGACTCAGTCTGACCCTTATGTCAACGTTTCCCTTTTTTAAGGGAAATTCCCTTATTCCAAATAGGATTCCTTGCAAGAACAGGGGAAAGTTGACAGCTATGATGTCTTCCTTCCCCTTATGATTTTGATCTATGGGCTACTTTTAAAATGACGCTGCATTTCAAATTGCATTTTAACCTGTATTTTAAATTGGTCCCCCCCCTTTATATTTCTATTGTAATTTTACTGGTGTTAGCCACCCTGAGCCTGGCTCTAGCCGGGGAGGGCGGGGTATAAATAAAATTTATTATTATTAATAGTATAAGCCCATTTTTGTAAGGTCGCGAATTTAAGCCATACTTTAACTTTTGACGCTCGGAATTTGGAAAAAAAAGTGTGTCTTATATTCGGGCCAATATGGTATATAAGTTCTTTCTGCTACAGTCCACAAGCGATGAGCATGCGTATATTACCCCGAATCATTTACCAACCTAGCCTGTGCTTTTTAGCTAGATATTTGATAATAGTAAGATTTACCAATATTCATAAGGAAATGTCAGGAAATTATGGCATTTACTAATAAATCTCAAAGCTAATTGAGCAGATAAGCAGCAGGTGCAGAGAATACAGAGAGCCTGAAGACTGTTTTGTGTGTAGAAAAGAAGATTTGCGGGGGAGGGGAGGCTGGCGGGAAAGGGAAAGGGTGCTTAACCCTTGCCCTGCCAACCACTCTGCTGCAGATTGCCTCCTAAACAGCTTTATCTTCTGCAGTGCTCCATATATGTTTTCCTCTCTAAAAATACACAAGAGGAATCCTGTGTTTGCATGCAACATGTAATTATACCCAGATTTCTACTGTGTAACATACCCAAATTTCTTCCAGTTCAGTCTATTTGATGTACAAAATTTATTCATTTCCACCTTCTCTTCCCAGTTTATGATCTTCCATCAGGCTCTACAGAGATATTTGGTGATGCATTGCGCAATGGAATTGAAGACTCCAGTTTCCTTCAAATAAATGCTGTGGATCGTTGCCCGAGTCAACTTTCTTCAGTTTACACTGAAGGCTGAGGAGGGGGGAAATCTACACTCCTGCATCTAATCCCTATCGGAACCACTCTTTTACGGACCATCTTTTTGTGGTCAGTTCAAGTGCTGAGTGTATTACCCAAGAAACGAAGGAAACACTACCAGATAGCATTGACCATCACAGATGCAGCTAATAAATATAAGGGGGAAGATTCTGGTTGAAACTTACTTGCTGAAGTGTGAGCAACTGCTTTTTTAATTCAGTCTTTTTTTGTGTGTGGTAAAACCTCTTTTCAAAGGGAACGAATAAGAAAACCACTGCTTCTTATATTTCTAGCTGAATTGTTGAAATTTTCACCACAGTTTTTGGAAACCCTCTGAAAGGACTCTGTAGAAATTTGCAACAACTTTTTTTTTGGAAAAAGCAAAAGTGTCTTGCATCATGAGCCTGTTTGGTGCTTTGCAGGCCCAGTACACAGCCTTGCAGGGCTGAAGACAAGGAGCGATTTTTGAGGCACCAGTTGGAGGTGGAGGCAGCACCATTCCACTCTCTTTTTGGAATCTGGGAACATCAGTCCTCTTTAACAACACAGTATTAACTGTATTAGCCGAAAGAGAGAGAATTGTTTGTGGTGTCTTGGCAGTCCTTCATTGGAAAGAGTTAATCTTACTTGATATTGAATAATGCTTTATAATTTAATTTTTATATTCCATGTGTAGAATTCTGTATGGAAGGTTCTTTTCAAAAACGCACACATATTTAGATTAGATGTTCCCCATGAAGAACAGAAGTTCCCTGTGAATGTTTGCAAATATTTGAAGGTATTTCCAGCAAGCTTCATTGGATCTTGAAGTCAACATAAAGAAGGTGTATTCACTACTGCTGCCAGAGAAGGAAGGGTTTCAACACTACCTTGCTGGGTCCCACAAGTGTTGGATTCAGACATGCTGTAGTAGATCTCCCAGTATCCCTTCTTTAATCTGATGGCTGGGGGTAATTTCAGATGTTGCTGTTATTCTGGGGGGAAAGTGCTAAGCTTTCTCCAAAGGAAGCCCACCCCTCCCAAACCTTGTGTTTTGCTTTTTTGCTATGGGGGGCAGACAGGTACAATGAAGAAGCCTTTCTTTTCACCCCCTTCCAGCTAACAGCAGCCTCAGGGAAAGAAGGGTTTCCATAGAAGAAACATAAAATTGGGAGAGGACTTGTTCTTCTCCCTCCCAGCACGGTAGCCTTGATCCAAGTTGCCCCTCCATTTGGTCACAGGTTTATTGTGTCCCATGTCATTCAACCCAGCATATTCTGCAAGCGAGCACCTTCCTGGCATTGTCCCTCATATATTCTAGAAGATTCCATGGAAAGGGCTATTATAATTCCATCTGCTGTAAATATGGTATGTTAGTATTTCAAGCATTTTTAAATCTATGCATTCCTTTCCTCTTCTCTCTACTACGGTACTTTTTCTTACAAAAATAAAAACAACATGCCATGTTTTTAATGCATCCCCAAATAATTCATGTAGCTGGTAATTCTTTGTTGTATAGTTATGAGCCTGTGTGGGCAGTAGAAAATGAATTTTCATGGTCAAGATGTGGCCTTTGTCATGGTTACATTATTATATAATTAAAATCGCAGACTTCTTTATGCAATGTGTATTGTGGGCCATTCATATTGGGGCCAAAGCATTTCAGCAATTTCTAAATGTGTGTTTTTCTTGTTAATAGCGTGTTACCGCAGAGGAACAAAATGTGACTATGCCAAGAGCCAAAGGAATTGATGCACTTAATTTTTAGCGAGGATAAAGAGAAGAGTTTTTGAAATGGTGAAACAGGCTTCCAAAAGCTAAATCATTATTTTGAAAAATTAATCATTTTTAAACCAGTCATAATTGTACAATTATGGGTATACTGAAGCCACATGCTAAAGCTATTCCCTGCGGTTATGAAAGCCAAGCCCTGGCTCCCCATTCCCATAAGGGGGGATCTCTGTTTGACTCCCCCTTGCCAAATCAGATCCTGAAAGCACCTTAACCGGCTACGGGAGATAAAAATATCCTACACTCAGAGCCTGGGGTCCTTTCAGTCTTGTTTTGATGTGGAATTCCTGCTCTCTGCCCTGCAAAAACTAAGTGAACTTGACACAGCAGAAGACAGAGGGATGTGGCCAGGCGCTTGGGTTTGTCCTGTTGATGTGTTGAGCACATCACACAGTGTGCAAACATCGCTGTGTGATATTGAGGGACCCCGGCCCCCTCCTTGAAACTTTGGGGGTGCCAAGGTCCCTCAGCCCCGCCCCCAAGCTGGTGCCCCTGGATGCAGCTGAAAAAGTCTAGAAGTGATGTAACATACAGTGGGAGAAAAATCAGTGGGCGGTGCTTAGAAACTTCAGTCGAGATGAACCCTTGTGGTTTATGGCAAATCCAATCTATGCTGGATCAGGTCTATACATGCCGCCCATGAAAAATGGTCAGCTTTGACAGGACCAGTCACTTCCTATTCGATGGATGGAGAACAGATTCCTGAATCCCCCGTTCTATGGTCAGTTTTGCCAGACAAATCAACACAGTGACTAGAGACAGAAGCAGGTGGGGACCTTTGAATCTGGGCTTAACATCTGGAAAAAGAAGGGAAGATTCCAACCATTCTGTGAAGACTTAGTTTTAGTCTTTGGAAAAGTCTGTGACAATCCTCAAATGATTGCACTTGACAGCTTAAATATTAGTCAAGACTCAATCATTGTACCCTGGAGTTTGGGGTTCCAAGAAAGACCAGATATCTGGAGCCAAATTACATCTGTTACCTCTACAAGCATAGGCTCATTTTAACTGAAAATGCTATAGTGTCCTAAGGGCAGGATTTGGGGCAGAGATCCAGGACTGCTCTCTGCAGAATGAGCAGGAGGTTCCTGACCACATTTTGAAGAGCAGGAGCTTAATGCATCCTCTCTCACATGTTGTTTAGTCATTTAGTCGTGTCCGACTCTTCGTGACCCCATGGACCAGAGCACACCAAGCACTCCTGTCTTCCACTGCCTCCTGCAGTTTGGTCAAACTCATGTTGGTAGCTTCAAGAACACTATCCAACTATCTCGTCCTCTGCCGTCCCCTTCTCCTTGTGCCCTCCATCTTTCCCAACATCAGGGTCTTTTCCAGGGAGTCTTCTCTTCTCATGAGGTGGCCAAAGTATTGGAGCCTCAGCTTCAGGATCTGTCCTTCCAGTGAGCACTCAGGGCTGATTTCCTTCAGAATGGATAGATTTGATCTTCTTGCAGTCCATGGGACTCTCAAGAGTCTCCTCCAGCACCATAATTCAAAACCATCAATTCTTCGGCGATCAGCCTTCTTTATGGTCCAGCTCTCTCACATAATGGATCTTTATTTGAGATGTGTCTTGTGTGCTTCTGTATGGGCTGCCATGATCTTATGGGGTCATTTTGTTTCTTACACTACAGTCCTTTACATATCTACTCAGAAGTAAGTCCCATTGACTTGACGGTCTATACAGGACAGGTCTCATGCCCTGCTCCTCCTCGGGAGACGTCACAGCGGCTTATATTTTGTCCCCATATGGTGGTGTCCAAGTGATCCTCAAGTCCAGGCTTGCCTTGCTCCAGGGGAGAACCGGGTCTGCTATTCTGCAGTCTGCGGTTTCACATTGACTGCTCTGTTAGAAGCACCCACTCTGACTTGCATCCCAGAATGGGCAGATTCCACAACTCATCTTGTCATACTCCAACTGGTTTGTTGAAAAGAGGGCTGCACTTTACTGAACTCTTGGATATTTTATTTCACTAGGGGACTGCTGCGTTACAAAAATGGTGCTTCGGGTTTTTTTTGCTAGCCGGATAATAATGCCTGTTTAAAGGGATTCAGTATAAACTATTTTTATGTCAAGATTTAGAAAGGAGAAGACATTATATAGATGCACACTAGCTTGCATCTTCCACTCTTCTCGGAGTAGGTCTATGGCAACACTGCAAAGTTGTGTTGCATAAGCAACCAATTCCCACTGCACTTTTAATAGCCCCTTGGCTTCTCTGTGCAAGAGAGCGAAAACGCCCACACATGTAGAAGAGAATCTTGTTTCTCCACAGCCATTAGTAGGTATATCATTGCAGGACAAGAAAATCACTACAGGTTTGTGCTGTTTTAACTCCTTCGTTGCCACCCTCTAGACTCTTATGTGAGAGTAGAGGCTTAATAATAAAGAAATTTTCTCTCAGGCTGGCTCTGCTAAATCAAGAGATGGGGCTGCCCATCTTTATCAACTTCTGATAAAGTCTTTATATCCATCTTCAGAAGAAATGTATATTGGAGTTCACATGCACCTTCAAAAAAGGAATTTTGTATCAGAAGTCAATTGTTCCGGTTTACTTGTGTCACTTGCGGAAGCATTTTCGTGTTAGTACTGTTGTTCTCATTCCATTATTATAATATATTTTTTAAGAAAGGTAATTAATTGTGTTTTGACTGTACCATTTTATAGCAGCATTTTAAAAAAGGAATGCAAAAAGAACCTGAGCACTTTTTATGTGAGATTTTTTTTAAAGGAACAGAAATCAAAGAGATGGGTTAGTTAACAGGGTGTTGTGTTGATTTTATAGGCAAAGTGGAGCATCTTGTTGTGTAGTGTTGCTCATGCAAAGCACTTTCATGGGAGAAGATGGTACAGTATGTGGAAACGTGTTTTCTATCTCACATTTTCTTGTACATATTTATATATGTTCCTCCTTTATATAGAGTTGAATCCTTTATACCATATTGTATATCTGTCTGATTTTTATTATCGTTGGCATATATCTGTTGCATATTGCATTGCCTAAAAAAAGAAATATAGTATCTTTTTTCTATTAATATGTATAGTTATGTGATTGGTTAAAGTTACATTTCATATAATCATAAGTTATTTTTGTTTCATGAAGTCCTTTTTTAGTATAAAAAGTGAAATGAAGGGTTTGTGCACATGATAAAATAAATAAATAAAGTGAACCTGGAAATCTATAACACATCAATATGGAAATGGAAATCTTCTTTCAAGTTCTGGTCTAAAAAATAGAGGGGGCATTCTCTAACCATTGAATCTCACCAGAAGGTCCCATAATAGTTGAGCTTGTTCATATAATTAGGAACATGTTGGGAGAAGGGGAGGGGGAAATTGGAGGCTTATTTGGGAAAACGTCCTTGCTTTGGGCCAATATTTAGGACTGCATTTAATTATAAATATTGGACTCAGGAGGGAAGGGCAGGAACTGAAGGGGGGAAACTGAACTGAAAGCCTTTTTAAATGACTTACACTTTGGAAAAATGTCTACATAAAACACAATAGTGTACTTAATTATATTATTTAGTTTTTATTAGCTTTCATTGCTCTAATTAATACTCACTACCAATGTCCACTAAAACTTTTTCTGTTTCTGTTTTGTTCCATATGGTGTGTTCTCTTAAAACGCACACGTGCGCACACAGAGAGAGAGGCCCACAGCACTAAGTTCTGTACCACAGGATAAAGGCATGCTAGATCGTTATTGACAGAAATATTTTAAGAATAAATAAATGCTACAATCTGTGGCTTTTTCCAGCACAGTGAAAAGAAGTTGTTCTGGTATCAAACTTGCACTTTTATCAATGCTCATGGATCTCTTGAAAAATATATAGCATTTTGGGCAATCATCTAATCTCATGTTTAAATTATATGCTAGAAATGTGCTCACATCAAGCAAATTTGCACAAACAATACAATCTGATGCATGTGTACACTGAGGGAAGGCCAGAAGAAGAAGAAGAAGAAGAAGAAGAAGAAGAAGAAGAAGAAGAAGAAGAAGAAGAGGAGGAAGAGGAGGAGGAGGAGGAGGAGGAGGAGGAGGAGTTGGAGTTTGGATTTGATATCCCACTTTATCACTACCCTAAGGAGTCTCAAAGCAGCTAACACTCTCCTTTCCCTTCCTCCTCCAAACAAACACTCTGTGAGGTGAGTGGGTCTGAGAGACTTCAGAGAAGTGTGACTAGCCCAAGGTCACCCAGCAGCTGCATGTGGAGGAGCGGAGACACAAACCCGGTTCACCAGATTACGAGTCCACCACTCTGAACCACTACACCACACTGGCTCTAGGAAGAATCCTGCTGGCTGGATCAGCCCAAAGCCCGTCTAGTCCCACATTCTGTTCTCAAAGTGGTCAAGGAGATGCCCATGGAAAGTCACAAAGAGGACATCTGCTGTCTCTGATCTTGAGGGCAAAATAGAGCCATAATAACTAGTAGGCGTTGGTAGTTTTAGTTCAGTGGGATTTACTGTCAGGGGTGGCGCTGTGGGTTAAACCACAGAGCCTAGGACTTGCCGATCAGAAGGTCGGCGGTTCGAATCCCCGCAATGGGGTGAGCTCCCGTTGCTCGGTCCCTGTTCCTGCCAACCTAGCAGTTTGAAAGCACGTCAAAGTGCAAGTAAATAAATAGGTACCGCTCCAGTGGGAAGGTAAATGGCGTTTCCGTGCACTGTTCTGGTTCACCAGAAGTGGCTTAGTCATGCTGGCCACATAACCCGGAAGCTGTACGCCGGCTCCCTCGGCCAATAAAGCGAGATGAGCGCCGCAACCCCAGAGTCAGCCACGACTGGACCTAATGGTCAGGGGTCCCTTTACCTTTACCTTTAAGTGGATATATGATTGCAGCCTAATCAAGGAACTACCTTGGTTGGTTTTTCTCCTTTTAATAAGAAACATTGTTGTCATCATCATTTTTCATATAGAATGGTTATTGACATAAGCACATGCAAAATGCAGTAAGAATAATGAGTTTAACAAATAAAAAGAAAAATAGAACAATAAAATGAAAATACAGCGGGGAGGGGGAAACCAGGAGACAACTCAAAGTGCAATACTGCATACAATTATCTCATACAGTGGTACCTCGGGTTACATACGCTTCAGGTTACATACACTTCAGGTTACAGACTCCGCTAACCCAGAAATAGTGCTTCAGGTTAAGAACTTTGCTTCAGGATGAGAACAGAAATCGTGCTCTGGCGTCGCCGCGGCAGGTCAGGAGGCCCAATTAGCTAAAGTGGTGTTTCAGGTTAAGAACAGTTTCAGGTTAAGTACGGACCTCTGGAACGAATTAAGTACCGTATTTTTCGCTCTAAAGGGCGCACCAGACCACAAGTTTTTGGAGGAGGAAAACAAGAGAGAAAAAAATCTGAATCTCAGAAGCCAGAACAGCAAGAGGGATCGCTGCGCAGTGAAAGCAGCAATCCCTCTTGCTGTTCTGGCTTCTGTGATAGCTGCGCATCCTGCATTCGCTCCACAAGACGCACACACATTTCCCCTTACTTTTTAGGAGGGAAAAGATGAGTCTTATAGAGCAAAAAATACGGTACTTAACCCAAGGTACCACTGTACTTCTCTTTTCCTTTCACACCTCCTGTACCTGCAAGGGCAAGAACTTTGCTTCAGGATAAGAACAGAAATCGGGCTCCAGCGGCGCAGCAGCAGCAGGAGGCCCCATCAGCTAAAGTGGTACTTCGGGCTAAGAACAGTTTCAGGTTAAGAACAGACCTCCGGAACAAATTAAGTACTTAACCCGAGGTACCACTGTATAAGAAGAAAAAGGTGAGCCCATTTCGTTCTCAAGAAAGCCTTTCCATTATATTTCTCCATGGAGCAGGGGGTCTCGTGGGCTGTGCAGATGAGTTTCCATTGTTTCCTCACAAGGGCCCTCCAAGAGCGCCAAGTAATCAGGAGCTCTAGCTTCCTGCCAGTCAAGACTTGCTAATTTACTTTTCAGATCACACAAGCCCTGCAGCATTACCTTTCAGGAGGTGTCCTGAGAAAGAGAAGAAAGAGCAATATTCCAGTCCTTTGGGAAGATTGTATTCCCCAGGGTGCCAAAGACTGGGAATCAAGCTGCCATTTGACTCTTCAGCAAGCCATGCCCCCCACTCCCTTGGTTGAAACAAGCCTGTCACCCAGATTTGGAAGCTGAGATTGTCCAAGGATTGTCTAAGCCTAGTCTCCACAAACACAATCATGATTAACTATAGGCAAGCCAGTTTGTGATTGAATTGAATGTGGGAGACATTCAAACTACAACAAAAATCACCCTCCTCATAGATGGCTTGATGTCAGGGAAAGTTTATGTAATCTTATCCCTAACATGCTAGATTTCCCTGTGCCAGGAATTCAAACAGGGTGGTTATACACAAGCATCCTGGTTCCTACAATATGGTGACCCAATGAATTGCAACAGTAATGTGGAAATCAGGTCTGCTGTGCAAATAGAGTCTCCATGGCAGGTTCAGTTCATGCAAAGATCATTTCCACATGTTTGCTCCAGCTGTGCTCACAGCAGGACCTGGCACACTTTAGAGGCAATCAGGAGTCAGAACCAGCACTCCAAATGGTTACAATTTGTGACAAATGGGACATGGGTGAATGGAAAGGCTATGGCTTGTTAATGGAGAAGTGAGGGTGAAATCGTAACTAATCCCAGTTTATGCTAATGTCAAATTTCTTGTTGATGCATCTGAATACAGGAATTAGGTTTATTTTTCTATCCCTGACACGATGCTACCTTTAGTCCAGCCCCCGTGATTTTAAATTTATCTCTTCCTAGTACCTTCCTAGTACCTTTCATTCAACTCAAATGTTCCTATTTTGAAGTCAGATATGGAAATCATTCTACCACATCTTCCCATGCCATTTATAGATTTACAGCCAAAGTAAATTTACCAGGCCATCAGCATCATTAATGATTCACAAAGGAGATGGGCTAGTTTAGTAAATTGTAACAAAGAACTCCTTTCCCTGTACCTTGTTAGACGTCTCAGCATACCTTTGAAGCAACTAGCAAATACCAGCCTCATGCATGGATGCTGCTGTGCGTTTGTGAGAGAGTGCCAGTGCAAATACACACCCGCAAGCCAAAACAAACCACTTGTTTTCTCAGTATATTCCTTGTATCCATGGTCTGGTGTGCTAATTGTATCAAAATGATGAAAGGAATATAGGAAATAAAACAAATAATGGGAAAACGGAAGCAATTGTCATACATGGTGACAAAACATTTTTGCTCCATGCAGAATGTACAGCCCATGCTGTCTGAATTCTCTCCCAAGACACTAAACACTGTCTTCCAATCTAAGCTCAGAGACTCCTTTCTCTCAGAGTGGATGTTCCACACAGAGAACCAACTCTTTGTCTCGCCTCTTCCTGCTGCTCTCTCTGCAACCATCTCCCAATCAGAAATGGCTCCTTTCATTCTCTCTCCCAAAGTGCTGGCTCCACCCCCTTCTGGCCTGGTAGCCAATCAGAGCGAGACCTCAGCCCTCTGGTGGAATTCTGAGGCACTGCATCCCCAAGCTCTGGTCTGGCTCTGCTGTCCATCACACATGGCTTCCTTCAAACCATCCTAGGATCTGGAGCTCAATGAGACCCCACCATTCTTTGGTGGGGATGCCTTGTTCTCAGGATTCCACGAGTGGAAGTAAATTGTTACTGAATAAGTAGCCCAGCTATGTTTCTATATTGTGTTCTTTATAGAAAGAACAAGCGTCTCTCAGATGTTTCCACTTTCTCACTCTTTCCTACCAAGTTTCCACCTACTGCCCCAAACTTTGGGGGGGAATTCTGACAAGGGCAAGCTTTGCTCTAAATGCACTGGTCTCAGTTCTGCAGGCTTACCTCATCTACCAGGCATTTAACAAAGGCAGCATTATTGAATACCAAGTTCCAACTAATTATCTAGAGGTGGGGGGAGGGACAAACGATAAAGAACACCTGACACAGCAAAGCATTAATCATTCACCCAGCTGTCTTGGGTAAAATAAGCCACCGAGAATCTGCAAGAGTTCTCCTAACGGCCTTTCCTATTTAGAGGGGGTTTTCAGACCCAAAGAACTCCCTATAAAAGGCATTTGAAAAGGGCAACAGGGGTGTTGTCTTTCTGATCACATTCTGTCCCCTAATAAACCAGCCGGTTTCCTGCTGATATGCCTTTGCCTTGCAGAAAACCAGCATGTGCATCGCTCCACTGGTTTCCAAGAATTCATTATGACAATTGTAAGAAGGAATGCCAGGCACGCTGCATTGTATGGTGAGTCACGTTAACTAGCTGTGGACCCAAGCCCAGTGGGGGCAGAGAGGAGTAAAGGAGCATGGAGAAGAAATGATGCCATAACACACCTCCTTCAGAGGTCACATTCTTTGTTCAAGTCTTTGCATAGTTTAAAGTGTTGTAAAATGCCAAAAATGCCATACTAGAAGAAGGCCCATGTTGCTGAGGTGGGCACTTGTGTTGCAGTAATGAAAGGTGCATCCTATTCCTGGCTGCAGGATGGAGCTCTCCAGTACTGACCCATCTGTGCCTTAAAATATCTAAGCTCTCTTCCCAAGCTCCCAGGACAACAATGAGTTGCTGGGTGCAGGGAGGATATGAAAGCTCTGATAGTATGTAATGTTAGCTGTTGATGGTAAGGTAAAGGTAAAGGGACCCCTGACCATTAGGTCCAGTCGTGACCGACTCTGGGGCTGCAGCGCTCATCTCGCTTTATTGGCCGAGGGAGCCGGCATACAGCTTCCGGGTCATGTGGCCAGCATGACGAAGCCACTTCTGGCGAACCAGAGCAGCGCATGGAAATGCCGCTTACCTTCCCACCGGAGTGGTACCTATTTATCTACTTGCACTTTGACGTGCTTTCAAACTGCTAGGTTGGCAGGAGCAGGGACCTAGCAACAGGAGCTCACCACATTGTGGGGATTCGAACTGCCGACCTTCTGATCGGCAAGTCCTAGGCTCTGTGGTTTAACCCACAGCGCCACCCACGTCCCTTTTGATGTTGATGGTGGCAGGCATCAAATGGATAGCTTCTGCCCCAGGGAGGCTGGACAAAATTCAGAAGCCATGGTTCCAGAAGCCCAACACCCAACCCTGTGTGATGCACCACTGCTGCTGAACAACACACAACAGCACATGACCCATCTGTCAGTCATCAAGCAAGGGTGTTTAATGTTAGGATGAAACCCAGTCTTGGTCTTCAAAGGAGAGGCAGAGATAAGCACCTTCTGCTCAACTGAAGCACTACACATGGATCAGACGTTCCTGCTGCAAAACTGAGGTGACCAGAACAACCCTGGAAGAGCTGTCTTCATGCCTGTGTGGTAGGCTTCCTGGAAGCATCCTGGCCACTGTAGAAGGCAGGATGCTGGAATAGATAAACATTTGTTCTGATACAGTAGGTCTCCTCATGCAACAGGAGCATTACAGAGGTATGAGTGCAAGGTTCCTAAAACAATGAGACTCCTCTGTCTCATGAGCAGGAGGTGGGAAAGGGGGCCAGTGTGTTTGCTGAGTCTCTTAAAGGACTGTCTTCTCACAAAACCAAATTGGAATCAGGATGGGCACTACCACTCGGCAGAGTGAGACAGCCCCTCCTAAGCTAGCCTTCTGCTCTTGTGAAGGACGTTGTCCCATCAGCAGCACTGAAATAAGATTCAGTTGCCAGCCTGGTCAGATTCTGGATGTGGAATGCAGGAGGCAGCAGAATGCCTTGTGTGAAATTATTACCAGGGTTTTACATAGCTCCCCAACTGGGTAGCGACGTAACTAGCCCCTTGGGTGCCCGGAGCGGTACGCGCGCCCTGCAGCCAGGGGCGGAGCAAGCCACCCATGGGGTCAGGGCAAGCTGCCCATGGGGGTGGGGCGAGCCAAGGCAGGGTGCGCTGCGTTAAGCCTCTCCGCAGCCTCCCCCTCAGCTGTAGGGCGGCTGAGGCAGTGGGCAGACGCAAGCCGCACACTGCTCGAAAAAGCAGCGCAGAACTTGCAGGCAGGAGAGATGCGTGGCTCAGGCAGGCTGCAGGCCCCGCAGTGTGACACCCAGTGCCCCCGCCTCACCTAGCTACGCCTCTGGATTAGGCAGATTCATGGAGGAGAGGGCTGACAAAGGCTGTGCTCTGCCTTCAAAGTTGGAGGCAGCAATGCTTCTGGTTTCTGGAAATCACTCGAGGGGAGGGGGCTCCTGCAGTGGCGTAGGAAGGGGTGTGCGGTGGGTGCAGGAGTTGTTTTTTCAAAAACACATATTTTTGATATTTTGTCACCCCCTCAGTGATGACACCTGGGGCGGCCCGCACCCCTCTTCCTAAGGTAAAGGGACTGTTAGGTCCAGTCATGGCCAACTCTGGGGTTGTGGCACTCATCTCGCTTTATTTGCCAAGGGAGCAGGCGTACAGCTTCCAGGTTATGTGGCCAGCATGACTAAGCCGCTTCTGGCAAACAAGAGCAGCGCACGGAAACGCCGTTTACCTTCCCGCCAGAGTGGTACCTATTTATATACTTGCACTTTGACTTGCTTTTGAACTGCTAGGTTGGCAGGAGCAGGGACCGAGCAACGGGAGCTCTCCCCGTCGCAGGGATTCGAACCGTTGACCTTCTGATCGGCAAGTCCTAGGCTCTGTGGTTTAACCCACAGCGCCACCCGTGTCCCACCCCTCTTCCTACGCCACTGAAACTGGGACACCCTCCTGAATGCTGTTGCAGGTTTCCTGAACCACAGGATGAAGGGGATGTGACGGGGAGTAGGTCAGACCAGGAGGCTGGGTTGTTTTTATGGGGACAGGATACAGTAAAGCAAGTGTGCATGAATACCTAACTGTCAGGATGTGTCCATGAGACCATTCAGGCCAGTTTGAGTGTACTAGTTGCGTCTGGACTGGGTTCCTGGTCTTCACAGGAATCACCCAAATGGCTTACAGGCAAGAAGATGGCCTTGGAGAAATGATGTTTTCACTTGCAATTTGCTTCTCTCTGCCTTCAGAACTCTTTTAAGCATATTGTGGGCTTATAAGGTTTCCTGGAGGGATAGAATAACAACAGTTAGCTACTGTTTCCCCCACCCCCTGAAAACCAAGGCTTGTGTCCCAGTAGCTCTTTTTTATGAGTCATACTCCCTTACCTTACTTGTTTGAAGTCCCCTAATGTCATCATGACTAGAATAGGCTTTTATAATGCTGCAGCAAGGAACAGGTCTGGCAACATTTCCCAACTGGTAGCTAATGATTAAATCTGTGGGCTGCAGCATCATGTGGATGTGGCATTATTCATGAGGTCTTCTCTCGGCCAAAATCCGTTGCACAAGTCCATTGCAAACACCTGGATCAGTGTCTTTATCGTCTTCAATGCCTGCTAAATTCTCAAAGGGGGGGTAAAAGGGGTATTTTTGAACAAGTAGAGTTTTGACAGCAGACAAATCAATCAATCACAATGTGCCAAACAGCTGCAGTTCATATACACAGCCACATACTGGCCAAAGTGAGGCAGTCAGGCTTGGGCTTCTCTCCCTTGCGTTGAGACCTCCAGAAGACCTCCTTTTGGACCCAGGTTCAGAAAGCCTGAAGGACGGGCCTAAGAGATCATGAGTGAAGCCCGTTAAGATCTCTCTCTTTGTTTGCAGGTGCCTTGGAAAGAAAGGGTTCTGCTAACTTCTTTAGAACCTAATTTTACTCTAAGTCACTGCATGCTCCGACATTCATTTCCTACTGCAGGGCTGCTCCGATTATCTTTGACAGGAGAACAAAAGTTGTTGTAGGGAAGGAAAACTGAGAGATTAAAAATTTAAAAATATCCAGCTCCTCCTTTTTTTGGGGAAAACACTGTAAGAAAGAAAAGATAAATGCTGTGGGTTTAGGTTGCACAAATTATTCTGTATCAAGATAAATATACCAAAAAATAAATAAAAAATCGCTCTGACTTCCAAAGAATTTCCAGGGTATGCCAGAAGATTACAATGCAACAATGGTTACCCGGGAGCTTACTTCTAATCCATGAAAAGGTTTTAGTCTTCCTCTTATCCCACAGGAAGCAGAAAATAAGCAAAATGAGTTGAGCCTGTCAAATATATTTACTGCTGTTTTTGTTTTCAGGGCGCTTTCTCCTAATGACATGATTTTGTGGGCCTCAGGGTTTCGTCTGTGGTTAAGATGCCAACATTCAATGTTGCACATCGCATTGTTCTCCAAGCAGAGAATTCAGAGAGCCTCAAAAAACTTACTAGGATGAAAACAAAAGACAAAGCTGCTGCCTCATTGGATTGCTATTCCTTGTTGCTGGTGCTTTCCTGCATTTACCAAGAATGTCCCAAAGAGCCAATCCAAGCCAGTTGGCCAGGCTTTCACTTCTGTGACCAACTGGAGCAGCTCCATCAAACCTGTGTGGACCTAAACGCTCCAGATCTCATTAACTGTAAGATCTGGACCACTGAAGGCTGCAGGATTAAGAAAGAGAACATGACAAGCAAATCCTGTGCACACAGTTAATCTTTCCTTGCTTATGAATTGTTATATTGCTGGCAGGTTTTTCTTCCTCTGTCATGAGAAAAAAAGAGGCTACAATCAGACTGGATTGGTTCATGCAATTCCCTGCTAGCCCCATTGTGGAGCATATGTCAAATCAAAAGCCTTAAAAAGAATCTGAGGTTAGAAAAGGAGAGAGTCACAATTCAAATCCAAACAATCTGAAGTTTGAAAGATGGAATAATAATAATAATAATAATAATAATAATAATAATTTATTTATACCCCACCCATCTGGCTGAGTTTCCCCAGCCACTCTGGGCAGCTCCCAATCAAATGTACAGCATTAAATATTAAAAACTCCCCTGAACAGGGCTGCCTTCAGATGTCTTTTAAAGATAGGATAGCTGCTTATTTCCTTCACATCTGAAGGGAGAGTGTTCCACAGGGTGGGCGCCACTACCAAGAAGGCCCTCTGTCTGGTTCCCTGTAACCTCACTTCTCGCAATGAGGGAACCGCCAGAAGGGCCTCGGCGCTGGACCTCAGTGTCCAGGCTAAACGATGGGGGTGGAGACGTGCCTTCAGGTATACAGGACCGAGGTCATTTAGGGCTTTAAAGGTCAGCACCAACACTTTGAATTGTGCTCAGAAACGTACTGGGAGCCAATGCAGATCTCTCAGGACCGGTGTTATGTGGTCCCAGTGGCCACTCACAGTCACCAGTCTAGCTGCCACATTCTGGATTAATTGCAGTTTCTGGGCCACCTTCAAAGGTAGCCCCACGTACAGCGCATTGCAGTAGTCCAAGCGGGAGATAACTAGAGCATGCACCACTCTGGCAAGACAGTCCACAGGCAGGTAGGGTCTTAGCCTGCGTACCAGATGGAGCTGGTAGACAGCCGCCCTGGACATAGAATTAACCTGCGCCTCCATGGACAGCTGTGAGTCCAGAATGACTCCCAGGCTGCGCACCTGGTCCTTCAGGGGCACAGTTACCCTATTCAGGACCAGGGAATCCCCCACACCTGCCCGCCCCCTGTCCCTCAAAAACAGTACTTCTGTCTTGTCAGGATTCAACCTCAATCTGTTAGCTGCCATCCATCCTCCAACCGCCTCCAGGCACTCACGCAGGACCTTCATCGCCTTCGCTGGTTCTGATTTAAAGGAGAGGTAGAGCTGGGTGTCATCTGCATACTGATGAACACCCAGCCCATTTGTTGATGAACCTGCCATTTGTTGCTGAACTTTGGCGATCGATTGGCACCTCAGACTGGAAGGTTCTGAAAGCCCTTGTGGGAAAACGTGGTCACCTTCACAGGTCTCCTCGAGGAAGGAGTTTCATAATTCAGTGCAAATCTTATCCAGCAGTGTTGCCTGGATTGTAGAGGAAGGGGAAAGTAAAAACTCTGAGGTGTCTTTAAAAACAACAACAATTATGCTGATGAAACAACCAACAATTCCTCTTTGTTGCCTTCTTGGGACATTGTTCTTATCAGGAATGAGCAGATTCCAGCTCCTAATGTGGTTATCTGAGGATGAATTTGACAGAAGGCCTGAATGCTGGGCTCCAGTTAAAAAACCAATTGCATCTCAGGGGGTCATTTCTCCTGGAGATGAGGAGAAAGGCCCAGTGGGCCCAATCCCTCCTCCCCAAAATCTGACATTGGCTTTGCCTGCGGTGGAGGCTCAAATGGCTTGCTTTGGATGAGAGAAAGGGCTCTCTCCACACCCAGATAAAAGAAGCCTATGCCCCGTAAGATTCATTTGACTGCTGCCCTCGCCACTTTCCATTGGTTGGGGAAACCATTCCTGTTCTAGCAAGTTTTTCTCTCACCAGGAAGATAAAGTTTTATATGGTGAGATCTGTTTAGGGCTTTTTAGGGCTTTACTCTGGTAAAGCAAATGCCTTAGAAGGACAGAACATGAATCTCTGAATAAATGTTATATATTTAATGTATGCCTATATATAAATAAGACGTTAATAATATAATACAGTCTAATAAACACGTATGGATAATACAATGTAACAAATAATAAAACATGAAAAACAGAACCAATAAATGAGGTGATAATATGCACCTCCCAGGAGAGGGAATTACCAAGATGTGGGGCCACCACTGAAAAGGATCTGTTCCTTGCAACTGCCAATCTGATGGTTTTTAGCGGCAGGCTAGAGAAAAGGGCAGGTTCCTCTGGGTACAGATGGTCCTGTGTGGCTCTGAACCATTTAGGGCATTAATGATCAACGCCAGGAGTTTTAAAATGATTCCAGAAATGAGTTGGCAGTCTATGCAACTGGTATAGAATTGGTGCACCATGTTCTGAATGTCTGGATTCCACAAGCCTTCAGGTGCCTTCTGTACCAGCGGAATTTTCTGAGTTGCCTTTAACAGCCGTTGCAATTCATACCTATTCAAGGCGGCAGGTGAGCTGCTTCCCCGTGTCTGCTTCCTGCCTTACTGAAATAAAGTCTGCCTGAAGCACTGCCCTTGGTCTGGTGACAGGTATGATTGTTTCCTATGACAACATCATTCCTTCTTAGTTTGGAAACTTCTGTTAGGATATCTGCCATATCTCCTCTTCTCGGGAGAAACTGGCCACTCTCCAGGCACCCGGCATGATCTCCTGGTGACCTCCCTGTCTGCATTCCCGGCAGATGCAGGCAAGGTCTCAATCGGCAATCCTCCTCAAACGTGAGAAGAACACACCACTCTTCCCTGCCCTCCCCCAGGCAGGGGAAAGAGAGAGACAGAAATGTATTTACATGCCTTTATTTCTGTCTTTGCAGCATTACAGAGAAACACGTCCTCTCTCATCAGCGTCCATCAGTAGAGAGAGAAAACTCATCCTCCTGTACTTCCTGTACAGGTCACGTTACACTCTGAGCTAATTCCGGTGCTTTGCACTGAAACTAGACCCTCCCTCTGTTCCCACGGAACAGTTCCAACATTCCCATTATGTTTTGCTTTCAAGCCACCTGCTGCTCGCTGCTGCATTGCATCCATATCGTAACAACTTCAGCTGGTACAGTATTCCTCCCTAACTGGTGAAGTTGACATGGGAAGTAACTGTTTGGCTGACTTTCCTGATTGTTTCCTGTAGACCTCAATGATGTGGTGCACAGCTACCCTGAAGTGGCTCCCATGCTGCTCAGCAAACACAAATTGGCCGTTAGTGAGATTGGCGTCCTATTTTGAGAGCCATGTGACTCAACGATTTACCTAAGTAGCAGAAAACAACTATGCATCGGAAGGCGTGCGTGTGCCAGTTCAAGAGATCGCCTCACTATTAGCACTAATTGATTTGAAAGAAGCATTTTAGAATCTGGCTCATGGATTATGAACTGCTGGACACAAACTCTCCAGGCAACCTCATTAAGTATCAGCAGCTTCCTTCAAGGAACAGAATGCAGTAAAGAGAGAGCGGTTAAAAAGCTTGCTAGGGTACGTTATTTTATGAAGCCAGAGTTCTGCCATGAACCATTCTTTTCTAAAACACCATTTATACTTTGTTCACAGAATTCAAATTCTATGTCCAAAGGAAAAGAGACAGAATCACTCTTCTAAAGGGCACATTGGAGACTTAATCCCCTTGCCATGTGATTTTCCCCTATAAAAATTAATTGCAGCATCTGATCATTGATTATATACCTCACATATAATAATTGATTTTGCCTTCACCATGTTTTTAAGATGGAGCAAGCTTTCAAAATGGAACAGGTACAGCCTGTGAGCCATTCCTAGGAGAAGGGTGAGGAACCGGTGGCTTTCCAGATGTCAGGGGACTACAACTTCCATCATCATTGGCCATTGGCCGTGATGGCTGGAGCTGATGGGAGTCTCATGACAACTGGGGGGCTGCAGCTCAGCCACTCTTGTTTAGATGAGAAGGACTCAA